TGTTTCTTGAAAGTATTCAAATTATCCTTATTTCGCTCTTAAAGCTTCCTTTATGAGAAAGCCACGTGCAAATTTCTAATTTGCACATTTTACTTTACTTTACTTTTTTTCTAATTAGAAATTTGCACATTGCTTTTATTGTTATGGCTTCCTCATAGAGGAAGCTTTAAGAGCGATATAAGAATAATTTGAATACTTTCAAGAAACATCGTTGTAAAGTTAGATTTCTCTCTTAAAGCTTCCTCTATGAGGAAGCAAAATGCAATACAATGTTTTATTCATTGTGTTCAGAAAAATATACTGAGCAACATATCCAAATTCTGCCATTTTTTGCTATCCTTAAGTATGTTTTTTAATTAAGAATTTATAAACAAATTCGTTTTTCTTCACAAATACGATGAATTTCAAAATTTTTGTAGAGATCGAAGTTGTAGAGCAGACAAACATCTACAAAAAATGTTCTTATGAATTTTTTTAAATATCTCATATTATTTGAGATATTTGCAACTAGAGCTACTAGGCTACGCGCGGAGCAGATCAGAGTTTCGTAACAAGCACACAGTATTTTCTTTTTCTAGGTCTAATCGTGTTTTGACTAGACTAGTAGGGCGAGTGATCGAATCTCACGAAAAGAAAAAGAGAGAACGTTTGTTATCGAGTCTGTTGCGCGTTTTAATCAAGTTTCGGTGGAGGCGACGTCGGACAAGAGCATAGACATAAAAGATAGACTGTTTATGAGGTAGTGGGGGATGTCCTCTAGAGGGCGTGATCACGACCACTAGAGTAGTGTCCCTATTCTAGGGACACTACACTAGAGAAAGACAGATACACAAATAAATTTACCTGCCAGCACTGTCACGTGTAAAAAATGTCACTAACCCAAACGATAAAATTCTTACTTATTACAATGAAACTAATAAGTTGATGTTATCTTTTGATAATTATTTTCTGGCTCGAACTTATTAGACAAGAACAAACGCCACGCGACGAAGCTCTCTCTCTCTCTGCCCACACGACTCGGCTCTAGCACGTACCAGTTAGTACATATTTCAGTGGTAAAAATTAAAAAATTCCTGCCGTATTTACGTTTGTTCCAAATATTGTTGGTTTTTCGTTCGATCGCCACAAAGCGAAGTGGATAATAGAGAGAGGTGTTATAGGTTTAGGCCCGGTTTCACCAACGCGAGTTAATCTAATCGGTCGGTTAACTTAACAGGGTGCCAACATAAAACTTCTTTATTAACCTATTTTCTTGGTTAATAAAGAAGTTTTATGTTGGCACCCTGTTAAGTTAACCGACCGATTAGATTAACTCGCGTTGGTGAAACCGGGCCTTAGGCACGTTCCTTCAAAAACGCCTTGTAACCCTAGGGGAATCAATAAAATGTATTTACATTACTTACGTTTGTTCCTTCTCCCATTTCGGTATTACTTATGCGCCAGAGTGATATCAGACATAACCTTACTTCTTTTTCTTCCCTTGTATGTTCTTATTATTGGTCTGGATAATACGTCACGGCCCATACTACTGGGCCGACGCGGTCACATAACGCGTTGTGATTTTTCCAGCAAGTTTTAATTGGTAATATTATACAATGCAGGGGCCCGACTATTGGGCCTCGTGCGGGATGATGCAGTCGGATGATTTTTCTTCTACGTTAGAAGATTCTTCTATTCACTCCACTATTCACTCCACATCTCTCTGCAAACCTAACCGGAAGTACTTTGTTGATGCTCGACTCTGAAGGTGCCTTTTCATACGCAGCATGCAGCAGCAGCAAATTAGTCACGTGATCCAAATTCACTACAGCATATTTGCTGCTCACGGAAAAGGAATAGCTGCAGCAGCACTGGCCGGCTAGATCGCGTGTCTGCTGCTTTGCTGTTCGTTCAATTGAACTTCACAGCGATGAAGCAAAATATGGTGAAATTTATTTTGCAGCATCTAGTAACAATTCTTCAACCAATAGCAGCGAGTTGCTGCGGCAGTATGCTGCGCATGAAATGGTACCTTGACCCTCGGTGAAAACGTGGTCATGGGGTGCGTTCCGAATTAGCTATATATCTAGTTACAAAGTTAGTACCACTCATGGACCTAAAAAT